AATGAAAATAAATAAGAATTTTAGCTCTAATCCTAAAACAATTTAAGAGCATGTTTGTTGCTGCTTAAAATCAGAATTTTGTCTGTTATTTACACTGTTCAGCCGAAATATTTGACTACATTGTGTCTTGGTAGGGCCCAAATGGTTGAAAATAACGGTAACATAATCAATTTTTTGGAATTTTTAATCTGTATCAGACAGCCCGTAAAAATTTTTAGCTCCTTTCGTTTGATTAAATTGCAAGTGGGATTTGGTTACATTCCAAATATTCCATAAAGTAATGCTACATTTTGTTATTTGAAGAAATAAAATTATAGAAAATTAATGTCTCAAATAAAAAACTGTCACGTTAGATGATCACGCCATAATTGGGATAGTGAGTGATTATGAAAATAACATTATCCAATGGAAATGCTAGATATCGCTTAAAAGTATAATGGCATGATTCGAAATTGGGTGAATTTTTTAGTTTAGCGAGGTGACAACATTGACCTAAAATCTAATTGCATTAAATTAAAAACAGTTATTGCTTAGTGCCTTAGTTATCAGCCATCGTTAATAAAGAGCATTTGGGATTTGTTAAAAGTATGTTTTGGGGGAAATCCAATGATAATGGTTCTCACTCAACCATTACAAGTTGCAAATTATAGCTTCAATAAAGCTGAATGTACAGCTTTATTTGACAGCTCGCTCACATAGGGTGTGGGGCCCACAATCCATGTGAGGGAGCTGTCAAAAAAAGCTGTAACTGTAGTATTGTTCTTATAGTTTATACGAAGTTTTTTTTATGTTATTTGTGTTCATAGCCGTTTTTAATTCTCTTAAAAACTCAATTTTCATGTAATTTATATTTTAAAAAAAATGTTAATTAGCAGTAACAGTAATGTAACCTTTGGAATTAAGTCAAATCCAATAATTACGACGTAAAAGAAATTGAATTTTACCTTTAAGATTACTCGATTCCTCTGTTTGTGTCTTGTTTCATTAGTCGTCAAAAAAACATCAACGCGACAAGAGAACGTGCATTGGAATATTCCATGACAGGAAACCGACAATTAAGAGAAGAACAAATTTGTTTTATTTGCCAAAAAAATAGTAAAAAACAACAAACTTCTTATCTGTACAGCAGATTTTGAAAACTAATAAAAGGGTAGTTTTCATATTTTTCTTTTAATTTCTTCAATTATTAATAATTAAATTATCAGATTTAAATCCTAGTTAATTATATTAACCATTAAATTATTTTCTAACCATTTTTTTTATTGATATTCCAAAAACAAATTGATATACCAAACTGAGTCTCAAGCATCAAAGGTAATTTAGAACCCGTTTGATAACGATTAAAATCCAATTAAAATTGAAAATATAGCTATTATTGAGTCTCACTCGTCTAACAAAAATCAACAATAAGGACTAATTTTTCAATTTTAATCCAATTTTAATATCTATCGAACACTGTTGGAAAAAACTTGAAATAAATTGAGTTGTAGGCTGACTTTGGCTATTTTGGAAGATGAAAATTGATTTGTGTTTTCATCTGTGAGTACATCGAAATCACATACTTACTTATAAAAAATGATGCTCGTGTGAATGAGAAATTGAAGCTCACATTATGCCATCTGAAAGGAGTTTATGTTGGTGGAAAACTAAAAGTAAGGTTTGTCCTAAAAATAAGTTTTGTCCTACATAGGAAGTGGATGAAAATACATCGAAATCACATACTTACTTATAAAAAATGATGCTCGTGTGAATGAGAAATTGAAGCTCACATTATGCCATCTGAAAGGAGTTTATGTTGGTGGAAAACTAAAAGTAAGGTTTGTCCTAAAAATAAGTTTTGTCCTACATAGGAAGTGGATGAAAATACATCGAAATCACATACTTACTTATAAAAAATGATGCTCGTGTGAATGAGAAATTGAAGCTCACATTATGCCATCTGAAAGGAGTTTATGTTGGTGGAAAACTAAAAGTAAGGTTTGTCCTAAAAATAAGTTTTGTCCTACATAGGAAGTGGATGAAAATACATCGAAATCACATACTTACTTATAAAAAATGATGCTCGTGTGAATGAGAAATTGAAGCTCACATTATGCCATCTGAAAGGAGTTTATGTTGGTGGAAAACTAAAAGTAAGGTTTGTCCTAAAAATAAGTTTTGTCCTACATAGGAAGTGGATGAAAATACATCGAAATCACATACTTACTTATAAAAAATGATGCTCGTGTGAATGAGAAATTGAAGCTCACATTATGCCATCTGAAAGGAGTTTATGTTGGTGGAAAACTAAAAGTAAGGTTTGTCCTAAAAATAAGTTTTGTCCTACATAGGAAGTGGATGAAAATACATCGAAATCACATACTTACTTATAAAAAATGATGCTCGTGTGAATGAGAAATTGAAGCTCACATTATGCCATCTGAAAGGAGTTTATGTTGGTGGAAAACTAAAAGTAAGGTTTGTCCTAAAAATAAGTTTTGTCCTACATAGGAAGTGGATGTAAATACATCGAAATCACATACTTACTTATAAAAAATGATGCTCGTGTGAATGAGAAATTGAAGCTCACATTATGCCATCTGAAAGGAGTTTATGTTGGTGGAAAACTAAAAGTAAGGTTTGTCCTAAAAATAAGTTTTGTCCTACATAGGAAGTGGATGAAAATTAAAACCACTTTATAAAGGATTACACTTTAGAATGATGTAATCATGTGTAGTATCCAGGCTCTCTCCACATGCGCGTGCAGGAGGGTGCAAATCTTGAATCGAAATAGGTTTCGGACCTTTAACTTGTGTGTGGGCGCGACCTGCGTATACGAATGTCGGACCGAAACGAGCGAAATTGACCTCTTAGGAGTGTCCACGTTTTGTTAATTTTCAATAGACTTTTGATTTTTCAAAACTGTTGAAACTCCTATTTTAATTGCTAGGAAATGAATGGGCAGCCAATCTTTATATATGTCTCGTTTTTCCACAGTTCAGTATACAAATTTTCATCTGCATACATTTTCTATTTCTGTTCGAGTCTATATTTTTCAGACATTTGTTTATTTCGCTGGAGTAGAATCTGTTGTACTCGAATTTTACTAGTTTCTCCGTTGTATCCTGAGAGACAGACGCTCGTATTATACCTCAAGCACGTACGGTGATTGAACTAATTTGTTTTAAGGAAACTGTGTGTAACACGGACCTCAGGTTAAAAGTTTTTTCTTTAACAATTACTTTTAATAACTTATTGTTGATCGTTTTGCATATTACTGTTCTGCAATTATCTTTTAATTGTTTACTGCAATTACTTGTTATATAATTTA